GCGGCATTATATTTGCAGTAAGAGATACAAGTGAGTGACAGAGCTAGAGATAGAGAGTGACAAAGAGAGAGGGATACATATATATATATATATATATATATATATAGATAGGTAACATTCGACAATGGTCGAGGGTCTGCCGCATATCATAAATATAATTTTAAACTTATATAGAAATGTACCAAGTCAAAATCAAAAGAAACAGCAAATGTGCATAGGCAGAAGCTAGTCTGCAAACTAAATATTAAAAGTGATAGAGCGCAAAATACCATGTAAAAGTGACAAGTGACAATATTTAAGGGTGTTATGTAAAAAACATAATTTAAGTAAGTAAACAGACAACAGTAAATATGTTAATGAATAAATACCAAAAAACAGAAGAAATAAAGTGTATATTATGAAACATTTAGTAAATATAATAAGTGTTGTAGCTTAATATACCCTATATATACGACAAGCTGTCTTCGCAATCAATCTTTGCCAAAAATGATTATAACACTTTGTCTATCTATCTGTATTCTAATTCTGCATTAAAACTTCAAATATTTCACGAAAATTCAGTTTTTCAGCCCGTTTTTTTTTATTTTTAATTAAATTTCTTGACCAATTATTATGTAATCCGTATATTATTTTAAAAGATCTACCGTCTTTTTTTAACTATATTAATTTTCATAAAATTTTAATTTTGTTTCACTTTTGTAGGATATGATCACCTTGTTTCAGAAGAAATTTGCAGACATATTTATCGATACAAAACACAATTTACGTATAAATTAATTAAGGAAATAAGGTTGATATTTGGTTGTTTGCGTAATAAGTAAAATAAATATAGAAATATATATAATAAATATTAAATAATCTATATTAAATTCAACATTTTTTCAGCAAAATATATTTAAATTTAACACATTGGTGAAACATTGCTTTGAAGAATCTGTCAAAAGTAATGCACGAATGGACTGCCACATGCCATTCATTTGCTGCGTTTGCCAGCAGCGCGTTTGTTCGCAAAATGCCAAATGCAGTTAAGCTGCCAGCAAAATACACACACACTCGCTCACACACACACACAGACATAGTATTAGTGACACGTGCGCCGCGCCATGTTGGCTGGCAGCGACGACTGCATTTTGCCTTTTAGTTTTAGAGCAGTCACAGTTTGTAGAAGCTAAACCGCAATAGCCATAGACCCCCTCCCCATAGCCCCTCTTTTGTCTATTCAACTGCCATTTGACTAAGCCAAAGTGTCCCTCCTCAACCCTCCCTTTAGACCCAATGTCATTGCTTTGCACACGCCGCGCTGTCTGCCTTTTTTTTTGTACTATAATTTGCGTTTGCTTTTGTTAGCTTTTGCCGCTTCTGCTGCCTGTTGTTGATGTTATAAAACAAATTAGTTGGAAAACAGCAAACAAAAACAACAATCAAAAAAAATAAATAAAAAAAGCCGCAAACACGTAAAACAAAATTCGTAAAAGCTTATACATAGAACATGCAATTAGCCAGGTCGAGACCGAAGCGCTTTTTGCTTTCAAAACTTGAGCTGCACACAAAACGACAACGGAGCCAATTTTAAAGACCAGGAAATGTGCCACTAAAGTATTCTTTAGCGGTGCAAAGTTTGTCAATTCAGTTTAAAGCGCTCAACAACTGCAGTCAGCAAACAAAAATCGGGCTGAAGTTTAGGAGATCTGTCTGAGAATTATACAAAAATGTCTAGATTTTAGAAATAATGTATGAATTTTAGAAAATCGCTCTGAAAACTAGAACAATTTTCTTCTGTTCAGAAATAAAGTCATCATTTTAGAAAATCTACCGAAGAATTATATTGAAAAGGAACCCTTCTAAAATTCAGGTAAATTTGATTTTTCCGAGTGTAATAGCTGCATTTGTTCAATCATAGCTCGAGTGTCGGCTAATTTACGAGCACCGTTTTAAACACAACCCACTGTGCGATTGCCAGCCTTGATGAAACGAAGCCTTGATTGAAAGGCAAAATAGTCTGTCTGAGTGTCTGTGAGTTGCTGCTGCTGCAGTTGTCATTCTGTTGCTGGCAATTGTTGGTGTATGCACATAAATCTGCATTTAAAATCGCTTTTAACCACAAATGAACACAATACAAAACAAAGGCCATCGTGGCGTATGAGTAATTTACAACGCACGCGTTGAGTAATGAAGGTTAATCATGCGCCATATTGTGCCAAACACTTTGTGGCTGCTCAGCCCAGCAACCAAACAAAGTACAGAAGAAAAAAAAGCAAGTAGAATTCCGCGATGCCCCTCAACAACACACGTTGCGTATGAGTAATGTGGCTTATTACGTATACGCCACGTGGCCATGACTGTCAAGCGTTCGCAGCCGCATTAATTGCGCACAATTAAACACATTTAATGCATTCGCTGCAACTTCGCTGAGCTCATTCCGCGTAGCACTCATTTATACAGCCATCATCTATCCATCCATTTATCAATCTATCTGTCCATCAATCTATCTATCTATCTGTGTCCATGTCTATTCATGTGTCTAATTTGCAGGGTATTTTTTTGATGTGTACCATAGAAGAATTCTTATATTAGCTTTCTTATTACTTATATTTATTATTAAAGACTTCTACTTTAAGATTTCACTTTATACAAACAGTTAGCACAGTTTAGAAATTCATATTAATTAATTGAAAACTATTAAGAATTTCTTTGCCTAATGTATAAAAATGTTTTCTAAAATCTAGACAAACTTTCCATTGCTCTATAAAATGTATGGCGATTTTTTTCTCTGAGTGTATCTAACTACTTCTCTATTCACACAGATCTGTGGCAAGAGTCGTCTGCTTTGTGTTCGTTGCCCGCTGCATACTCGAGATTATGCGGAAATGTTGCAAATGTCTTTCAAAAAAATTGGCTTGAAAATCAATTTGCCGCCCAGTGGGCGTGACAGTTGCCAGCAGCTGGCTGGCATACATAAATCGCAGCCACTGACAACAACCGGAAGCATGACAATTTTTCGGCAACTCTCTGCGGCCGACTTGGGCAACAGGTAAAATCAGCCGGACAAAGTGAAAGTCTAGCCAGAGGGAAAGGAGCTAGACATTAAAATAACCGACAAAAATATATATTTAAAATTGAAATGCCACCAGCTGAAAACGGCACTTGAGCACTTAAGGGGGAATTACAAAAAAAATCTCGTAAAAAAGTAGTAAACCAATTATAATGAAATTTACGAAAAGCCGCAAAAAAAAGAGCGTTTAATAATTGTAGAATACATAACAAAAAAAAAAACCTTCTTCGAGCACTTAAAGAGAAATTACAAAAAAAAAATCTGGTAGAAAACAATTGCAATGAATCTTATAAAAAGCCGCTGGAAAAGAGCGTTTGTGTAGAATGAACTCATCTTAAATCAAACCTTTGCTCTATAGAAACTCAATCATTATTTAAATAGCAAATATTTATTAATCATTTAATGTGAGTTGATTATGTGATTTATCACTGCAAGCATTTAGCCGCCTGTCAAGCAACTTTATCGCCTATAATTCTCTACTTTATCATTCTATTCTCTCAGACAGCCACAAACCCTTAAAACTAATGTAAATGTTGTCCCAATGTAAATAAAATCCAAACACATATCGAAGGTTAACAAATAGTGCTGCTGAGTCTTGATGACTCTTGATATATATCGCATTCACCACTCGCTTTTGGCCTTGTTGTTAAGAGCTCTTAAGAGCAACTTGCCCAAAAGACGAGCTGCCAAAAGTGACGTAGAAGCAGGTATAAAGAAAACAACTAAGTAGTTGTCTATATACACTTGGAAAAAATCTTTAAAATAATACTATTTTATTATATCTTCTTTTTTTTAGAAATATATTTTATATATATATATTTCTATCAAGTAGAAATACAAAAGTCGAACTTTTTTTCAAATGAAATTAAATCAGCTTACAGACTATCCAACATGCTTTATAGATGAAATCTCAAAATTCTAATGCTTATTAATAAAATACAATCAACAACAAAATATTGGACTTCAATTTTTTTAAATTTTAGAAAAAATAAAGACAAGAACAACCATGGTTCTTACAATTCTAAATAATAATAAGTTTGCCTTGGCGCGAAAAGTATGGCGAATTTCTAAAATTCAGAGCAACATTTGATTGCTGAGTGTAAATGGCGAGCCTTGAGGTGAAAGCCTTATGACAGAGTAGAAGTAAAAAAAGTTGCCTAAGCTTCTTACTGCTGAATGGAGTACACTTTAAGTTTGGAAAAAAGTGCCACAAGAGCCAAAAAAAAAGAGACACATTTAATGAGTAAAACTTTTACACATTGATGTTTGCCAGAGTAGTGAGTGTGTGTGTGTGTGTATTTATAAATACATACATTTATACATATATATATATGTATATATATCATTTTTGTATATTATAGTTAACGAGCGACTGCCCTTTGATTGATGTATTCTTATTATGTGCTCGTTTTCGACATTTATTTAATTTCCTGACTTTTCACAGTTCTCTGCTTGCGTATGAGTAATGAAATCGAGATGCGAGCCAAGCATACGCCAAGTGCCACAAAAACATATACATATATACACTAAAAAAAAATCGACACAAATTTTAATAACAGCGATCTGGATATTCAACCCACTACTCCTAAATTTTAGGAAAATCCAATCATAAATTTAGATATGCAAATCATGGTTTTCAGAAAGCCTCAACAATAAATTTTAGAAGTTTACCAAAGTATAGCGGTTTTTCTAAAATTAAACTCTAATATTTTTGATGAGTGCACGTTGCTGTTTGGCTGCTTGGCTGTCTCTGCCAAAATGATGCACCGGCATTTACATAAATATAATTATAGCAATTAAAATCGCTGTGTACAAAATCGCAATTAAAATGCAACAAATTTCGTCGCGTTGCGGCTCTGTTTGCAACACTGGCCGCATTCTTTTGATCTAATCAAATATTGTTGTGTTGTGTGTGTTGTTAAATCGTAAATTTGTAAATTTGACCTACCTTCTTCTTGCGCTCCTCCTTGAAGTCGATGACAATGCCCTCATCCGATGTGGACACAGATGTTGTGCGTATACGTGCATTTGCTGATGCACTTGCCGCATCGTGTGGCAATGATATTATGTGACCATGCAACAATGCATTTCCATCATCGCTCAATGGCGGCGATGCCGAACCGGAACTCCAAGAGGCCGATGAGCTGCTGCCCGGACTGGAGCCCAGCCATTTGTCCGAACCTGATGTGAGAAATGTGTTCAAAATTGGTAAAAGTTAGCAAATTAAGAAAGCCCATCCTAACAGTGTATAATAATTATGTTATTTTAGTATTTTGATCTTGAAACCCTACCGGCATTCGGCGCATTGTGTAGGTGCATTAGAATTAATGCTGCATTGCATGCATTCATCTCGTCCCCTTTGCACTGATCACTGCTGCAATCGTAACTGTCGCTCGGCGGACGCTTCCGAGAACTGCAATACACAGATACAAAAAGATATCAGATTGAGTTAGATATGGGATTTATTTAATATATTCATTATTTATTTAATATCCATGTATTATTATTATTTATTTGTTATTATTATTAAGTTAGATATATGAAAAATCCTATTAAATATAAGCTATCGATATTATCTTTCTTAAGGAAGGGTTTTTATGTCTTTATGTACTTCAACTTCTTATTTATTAACGGATGGATTCCCTGAGATCCATTTGTATAATTCTGTTTCTTATTAAAGAAGGGTTACGTTGAGGTTTCTAAGTGCGCTAAACTCAGAAACAAACGAAATATGCATTTAGGCTTTATAAAATAATCCAACTGAAAACTAAGTAATTTCTGCTTGTGTCAATTTGCAAGCTTAAAGAAGATTAGCAGTTATTTTGTTGGTTACTTAACAAATAATGAGAGAGGCTTGTTCGAGTTGTATGTTGGCAATGCAATTCAAGGAATTTAGAAGGCCAGTAGAAGGCCCAGTTGTTGTGCTTAGTTGAGGCTCGGCTCGGCTCGGCTCGGCTTGGCTTTAATTAGACGCCCTCGCAGCAAAAGCCAAAACTCTGACAAAAACATCAAAGTTGCCGACGAAAAATTGTTGTTTGTTGTCGTTGTAATTTGTTGCAGCAACAATGTGACGAGGTCTCTTTATGTATAAACGGGCCGTGAGGTATTTCAATGCAAAAACTATTTATCCATTTAGCTCATTTTGTGGCCAGCGATTTTTCAATGCTCATGCATTGTTAATGTTTGTTATGTTGTTTGTTGTTATTGTTGTTTGTGTTGATGTTGTTGATTTTGCTCATTCGTCATTAATTGGCAGCTACGGTAGATAGCATCACACATATTTTTGTGGCTATTTTGTTTTGTTGCTGTGTAAATTTTTACTGACCTTGCGCAAAATTAATTTTCAAGTTAATTTTTTATCTATTTTTTTTTTTTTTTCGTTTTGGTTTAACACAAACCCTGTTTGCTTTTAAGCGGCGCTGACGTCAACTAAGAGTTTTGACTTTAAGTTCACCTTGAAGACAAAAAAAAACCAAAAAAAAACAGAAACAAAAACAAAAACAAAAAGCAAACAACAAGAACAGAAGCAACAAATAGCTAAATCAGATATCCTTTAGCGTTAGCTTTATGAAAAGCATTTTTACGCTCCAGCAACTTGGACAAAGAATGCAGCAAAATTGAGCTGCAAAGGGAAGGGAGGAAAGCAGGGGGAACCTGTATAATAAAGACGCGACGCGATTGTCATAAATTCAAAACATTTCAACTGATTTGAAATACTTGCCATCAAGTCGAGTGTAAGCAAAACTCAGACTTGAACATATGCAAAAGGCCAAAACATAAAGAAGGAACTCAAATTGCAAACAATTGAGACGTCGTCATTGTCGTGTGGCAATGTGGCAAGTAGCCAGAATTAACATTTGACTCGCAGCAGATCTAAATGGGCTCTGCTCTCAGCCCCGATTCCATTCATTGAGTGCTGCCGGTATGCAATTATTGATAATTGAACTTAAGCGGCTTATTCGCATTGAAGAACGGCATTCAGATACTGATATTGATTTCGAGTGAAACCAAAGCCTGCAGTTGCCTGCTTGCAACTGCAACTACACTCGGATAAAAAACTGAACTAAATTTTATAAAATTGACCTGAATATTAGAATGTTCTTCTTCTTCTCAGATATATTTTTATTTTAACTATTTTATATATTCTACATTTAACACTAGAAAATGTATCTCATTTTTTTTTAATTTGTTTTGAATTTTGGAAAATATCCCTGACATGAAAAACGCGTTGATAATATGAAAGTCATTCTTGCTTTTAAAAATAATTTGTTATGATAAATTTCTGCAGATTACAAACACCTTTTTTTCAGTTTACAGAAATATATTTCTTAGTAATTGAATATATTTGTAAAAAGTATAAATTTAAACTCTTATTTTTGAGAAAATATGTTAGAATTCTTTGAAAAAAGATCCTGGAAATTAGACATATTTTTCTTAATTAAGAAGAGGGAACGCTGGTCTGTCTGCGCAGCTCGATTTTCTCCCAGTGTAATTGTAAGCAAGAGAGTGAAATTAATTGAAGACAAAATACCTCTAATAGTTGCGCTAAAAGTAAAGCTTTCTTTGGCAACATATGGAAATGGAATGGTAGTTAGTAAGTCCTTAGGTGAAATAAGCAATTGTAGTCAGTAGTAGTTTCTAGCCATAAGTGAGCGATATTATAGTCAATCAGCCTTGGGCTAAGCCAACTAAAAGTGGAGAAGCATTGAATCGAGGTGATTTGCGCTTTAAAGTCAACTTTAATGGGTTAGTAACGATTTTAAAGACTAAGCAAGAAGAAGAACTGGCTGACTTTAACAGACATTGATACCGCATTAGGTCTGTGCCCCAAAACGATGCATGCCACATTTATAGATATGTGTGTGTGTATAGCAGTGTTTATAGAGCATTTTAGAAGTTGCTTTTCGTAAAAACATTTCTTATCGCTGGCATCAGCACTTCAGCTACATTTAAGCCGAAACGTGAAATTGCATTCAGCTGCTGTTTGCTGTTTGTTTATTTACTTTTTTTACTTTTTTGCTTTTTCTCTTTTTTTTTTTGTGGTTCGCGAAACCCTTTTGCAAAGCAGATTTTGGTCCATTGTGCAAATTCAGAGGCCGCAAGGCAGCGACAATTGAGCTGAGCTGAGCTGAGCTGTACTGAGCTGTTGCAGTTGCACATTGTGGATGCAACAGCGAATGCAGTGAATGCATCCAGCTTGGCTTCTTTCTGAGAACAGCTGCCATAAAATTTTATTACCGTGCTACCAGGTTTGTTTCTTAGCCTTTGTCTAATGCACGCGCTTTGTGCCACATGTTGCAGTTGCTGCTGTTGATGCTGTTGCTGTTCTTCAAGCTACACTCACAAAAAGAAAATTGCCAAGAATTCCTCACCTTACGGTTCAGAATATAAATTTCTCAATTTTATGGCTGTGGCTTTCTAAAAACCAGGATTTCCATTTCTAAATTTCGAGGTGTTGTTTTCCAAGTGTGTAGCAACAGAGGAATTCTAATATAAGCTCTCTTGTCACCTATATTATTATTAAACATTATTATTTCCAGTTTTCGCATATACAAAGATTTTACATAGTTTTAATTTTTTTCTAAAGATAATGGAATATTAGGAAATGTATTTCTGTAAAATAAAATAAATAAATCCTTTACATTTTTAGAAATATTTCTTTTATTCACAAATTATTTGTAAAGCAAGAAAAACGTTTTTGTTTTTAAATCGATGTTAAAGTTAAAAGTCTTAAAAAATCAAGAAAACTACTCAACTTTTTATGACTATTTAATTTTAAGACAATTCGCCAGTTTCCAGAGCGATTTTAATTTTAATGCAATTTTCTGCAATTCAGAAATTCAGTTCCTAGTGCGACTTTTATCCGAGTGTAGCCTGTGGCAAACGCGCAACCGCAACAGGCGGAGAGATTGTCTTTTAGCCATTTTGGCACCTCTTCTCTTGTGGCAAATGTTAGTTAGATTTCAGTCTCAGCCTCATCTGCGCCCCAATTAAATTGACTAAACTTGACGATAAATTGTTCTCATTGCTGCTGCTAATCGCATAAAAGTAAATTTGCGCATAAATCGGACAGTTGAAATCTATGCTGCATTAAGCCAAGTTTAAACCCAGGCAGGCAGCGGTCAACGTTTATTTTGCCGGCCGGCTGCTGACTGCTTCCCTATGCTTCCTCATGCCTGTTGCATGAGGCGCGTGCCGAGGGCTGCAAGGGTGGTGGAAGAGGGGCGGGAGGGTTTTTTATACTGGGGTATTTTGGACATCACGATGTGGCCATTTTGTGCGCACTATCGGTACCGTTAGGTTCAGCAGCAGCAGCAGCAGCAGCAGCAGCAACAACAATAAACAGGCCCGTTGCTTTCAGCTCGATTGCGCAGCAAACTTTAATAAACTTCAAGCTGCAGTTGCAGTTGTTGCAAGTTGCAGTTGCTGTGATGTTGCATTTACTGTTGTTGTTGCCGATGTTGCCGATGTTGCAGTTGTAAAATTGCTGGTCGAGTCTCTCAGAGTCTCGGAGAGTCACTGCGTGGCCGCACGTAAATTGCGCCAGGCGCGGATCACTGCACTGGAGGGGTGGAGGTGCCGAGGGGACCCAGGGGGGTAGAATTGGCGCAACTCTGGCGCGTGATTGAAATGCGATATATTCGCGCCGATTTCGGGGCCTGGGAAATGCGCAGTGATTTTCACTTGGTTACATTTGTTGTTGTTGCCGCCGCTGCTGCTGCTGCTGCTGCTTGGCCAGGTGATGAGCCTACACTCAGCAAAAAAATCGGCCTGAACACTGAAAACTTTTCTAGTTTTAAAAAATCGTCTTAAAATCAAAATCGCTCCGAAAACTGACAAGTTTTTCTTGTTTTTGGAAATGATTTCTGAATTTTCGAACATCTGAAAACTATACGGGTTTTCTTATATTTAGAAATAATTAATGAATTCTAAAAAAAAAAATTTAAACAAAAATTTCTATAAATATAAAAGTCTCTTTTCCATTTTTCAGAAAAAATGTATTTTTAATAATAATTATTATTTCTAAAAAAATAACATTCTTTAAATTCAGAAACAAGTAATGAAATTTACTTATTCGGCTTAGCTGCTATTTTAAAAATGTGAGCCAACAAAACTGTTTAAAATACTAAAGTTTATAATAAAATAAATAACAAAAAACTAATATAAAAATTCTTCTAGTGACACGCATAGAAAACAATACCCTGCAAATTAGACATTTTTCGGTTATAGAAATTTTCATTCTGAATAATATGCTGACCAACCAGTGGCGATTTACTAAAATTTAGGGCGATTGTTTTTTAGAGTGTAGACTGAGCATAGGCAACTTGAACCCGTTTGCTGTTTTGCTGTTTGCTGTTTTGTTGGCAATTATTTGCCCACGCCGCTGGTTGCAATCAGCAGGCGACGACGTTG